TTCTCCCTGTTTTGTAAAAGAAAAGAGAAACACTGCACAGCTAAAATCCTCTTTCCTTCACCGTGTGTGTGTGTGTGTGTCATACCACTTCCATACTGCTGTGACCCAGTACAGCCCCTCTTTCTACACTGGACCACCACTCAATACAGAATCCTGTTCAAGGTCTCTGTTGTGATAACCAAAGTCCTCCAGGAGATCGGCCAATGCTACCCAACAGATCTATTCTCCCTCCATATCCAGGACCTCCCAGGACAGCTGAAAAGTTTCAGCAAATAGGGAGAGATTCATCGCCCTGGGCAATGGAACTTGCTCCCACAAGAGCAAAATAGCGACCATAGATCTCTAAGCACTTTCAGAAATAAACGTCAAACTAATTTCTTTCACTTAAGTTATTTAATAATAAAAAAAATCAACTCAAGTTACAGTCAAATAAACAATCCACAATCTGAGCATCCACACACAGACATGCATCAAAACAACAATAAGTGATTTACAACCAACCTAGATTTTGTTTCTAGTTACCGTATATGCAAGCTCCAGGAATTGGACAGTTCACTGAACAACCTTCTGATAGCAATGACTTTTGTTCACTTGCTAGTGACCCCTTACATCGTGGGTGGCTACTTTTTAAACTCTGCTGTTCAGGACACTCATCCTATCAAAACATTTGCATCACTGCATCTTTTAAGTACCTATCACCGCAGTACCTGAACACCTTCAGACTGTAACATCACCACCATTACACAACCCATATGTTGGTGCTAAAAATCTCAGGGTGCTTTTAATATTCTGTAAAGCTAGCACACTAGAGCTCTGATAAGAAAATCAGTTTTATCCCATGAATATCTTGATAGGTAGTAACCCTGCCTAGAAGTAAAAGCAAATAAAACCCTCTCTGTTACTATCCCTTGTCTATCAGGTACCCGTTTCTCACTAGGAATTCTCCCCACTCCGTCCCAATCAGATGCCCCCTCTAACTGCAGAAGATGCCCTCACCCTTAGCAACCTTTCCAGGTTGGAAGGCAAACAGATGAGAGGTGACCCCTCCTTTATGTGGAGGGTGATACCGCCATCCTGGCAGCCCCATCTGAGGGTCCCTCGGCCACTCCCTCTTCACCCGTCTCCTCCTCGGGGCTCTCACCTTTCCCTGGCGGCGGCGCGACTACAGCGGCGCCGCCGGGGGCTGCAGAGGCACCAGCAGCGACGCCCCCTCCGGCCGCTCCAGAGGCGGCGGCGACCCGGCTGAGCAGCGCCTCGCCCCCGGTGGCGTCTGTCTCCCCACCCGGGGTCCCCTGGGCGCCGGGTCCCGCGGGGCTGAGGGCAGCCGCGGCCACCTCCTCCCCCAGCAGCCGGGCCTCCCGGCGCAGGATGTCCTCGGACTCGTGGAGGTTGTTGCGACGCAGGAACTGGAGCACGGCCAGGAGGGTCTGCCGGTCCGTGGGGGCGGGGGAGGCGGCCGGACCGGGGGGGGCCGGCTTGGGGGGAGCGGCCTCCCCTCCGCTCCCCGGGGCCCCCGCCGCCGCCTCCCCCTCCGCCGGCGCCGTGGTGGGGGGAGCGGCGGGCGGGGGAGCCGGAGGGGGCTGGGGCTGGGGCGGGACACCCCCGTCCGGGTCCGGCTTCACCACCACTTCAGCCGGCTCCTCAGGTAGAGCCGCCATCTTGCGCAGGGCCCCCCCATGAACCGGCAGCGGGCCGCCGTCAAGCGCAGATGCGTTTGCGACACTGAAGGCAAAACGGGCGGGAGCCCGGAGCCTTTTGCGACGCGTTAGGTATCGATTTACGGCAGCGGCGTATCATGCTCTATTGGCGCTCCATGGAAAGAGATGTCAGCTAGTCCTGGGGTTCTCAAGCTGGGGGTCGGGACCCCTGGGGGTCACGAGGCTATTACCTGGGGGTCACGAGCTGTCAGCCTCCACCCCAAACCCAGCTTTGCCGCTAGCATTTATAATGATGTTAAATATATAAAAAAGTGTTTTAATGTATTGGGGGGGGGGGTCGCACTCAGAGGTTTGCTGTGTGAAAGGGGTCACCACTACAAAAGTGTGAGAGCCACTGAGCTAGTCTTCCCTTGTCTTGAAGCCTTGCTCCTGCAAATTGTTCCATGATAGCAGACCCTTGCCCCTGTGTGGGGCCTGAATGGCATACTTTGACCAGCCTGATACATTTTCAGTACTGGGACCAAATCTGCACTGGCTTCCCAGACAGGGATTGCATTTTGTCTCCTCCCACTTCCATTTCTTTCAACTGTCACCATTATTGCTTTCACAATATCACAGAATATCAGGGTTGGAAGGGACCTCCGGAGGTCATCTAGTCCAACCCCCTGCTCAAAGGGGGACCAATCCCCAACTAAATCCCCAAATGGCTCTCTCAAGGATTGAACTCACAACCAGGGCCGGCTCCAGGCACCAGCCCACCAAGCTTGTGCTTGGGGCGGCACCTGGAGGGGGGCGGCGTGGTGTGGTGCTCCGGCTCCGGCCGCCGGGGAGAGCGGAGCCCCAGCTGGGGCTCACCGCCCTACCCCCGGCGCTCTGGCCACCGGGGAGAGCGGAGCCCCGGCCGGGCACTCCGCCCTCCCCCCGGCGCTCTGGCTGCCGGGGAGAGTGGAGCCCCGGCCAGGGCTCGCCACCCTCCTCCCAGGGCTCCGGCCGCCTTTCCCCCCACCGACGCCCTCCCCCCGGCCGCCCGGGAGAGTGGAGCCCCATCCGGGGCTCCAGCCGCCCTGCCCCCGGCGCGCGGGGGGGAGGGGGACAGTGGCCGGAGGCTTTTTTGTCTGGGACGGCAAAAAAGCCAGAGCCAGCCCTGCTCACAACCCTGGGCTATCCCTCCTGTGATATCCCCCCTATATGTTAAGACATGGCAGTGTCTGTCGCTATACTGGTGCTGTCCATCCCAAAGCTCCCCCTTTTAGTACCTCTCACAGACCTGAAGAGCTCTGTGTATACTTGAAATCTTGTCTCTTTCACTAACAGCATTGGGCTAATGAAAGATATTACCTCCCCAACCTTGTCTCTATTAATTTTAAGGGCAGTTAATAAAATGCTCTCTGGAATAAAGGATTTTGTGACCCGTGTGTTTCCAGGGGATATTTAATGCCCTTTAAGACCCACTGCATAGCTTGACATTTAATTATTGGCTAAGAAAAGGTGGGTTTGCAGAAAGAGTGAAGCAATTTTAAAAACTACATTTCCCAGCATCCCTTGAGGGTTCATTGCGCATGTGCGCAGTCGCAATCTCATCGAGGCGGAGTACACTACAATTCCCCGCGTCCTTCATCGCGGTTAGCACGCATGCGCAGTGCCTGACTAGCCGTCTCGGCGGTACGGGGAGCGCAGAAGAGAGGTTGAGAACTACATTTCCCATCGTCCCTTGTGGCGCCCGGCTGCCGATCCCGCTGTAGCGCCCCCCGCCCAGCCATGGACATGGAGGTGGATGTAGGCTCTGTGATCTCGGGCCTATCTGGCGGGGATGGGGCGGGCCTGGGCCCCGGCGAGGAGGAGCTGGAGGTCGGGGGCGCCCCTGGCTGCTCTGGGGCCGGCTCCCTCCAGTTCGATTTCGAGAGGAGCCGCTCGGAGTCCAGCGGGGAGGAAGAGGAGGAGGAGCTGGAGGAAGAGGAGCTGGAGGGGCGCCCCGGGGCCGGCTTTGGGGCCTGCCGAGAGGCGGAGGGGGAGCTGGACTCGGACGTTGAGCGTGAGGTAAAGGGTGGGGCCACCCAACACCAAGGCACGGGCTGGGCGGAGAGTGGTCCAGTCGCGCCTCGAGACGAGGCCCATGTGACCACCACCCTCACCCAATAGTGGTGCATGCTCCCAGCATGCACCACTCTGCCTGGAGAGTGGGGCCCCCGCTTCATGAGGAGATAGTTCCCAGCATGCACCATTCTGTCTGGAGAGCAGGGGAGGTGCTTCCCGCTTCATGAGGCGATACTCCCAGCATGCATTGCTCTGCGTGGAGAGAAGGGGAGGTGCCCCTGCTTCATGAAAGGGTAGTTCCCAGCATGCACCACTCTGCCTGGAGAGCAGGGGGGGGTGTCCCCTACCAGGGCTGTCCCTAGCTGTTCTGGGGCCCTACACAGCCCACCCCTGGGGAGGGGGGCTTGGCCCCGGCCTCCATGGGGGTGAGGGAGCTTGGCCCCAGGCCTCTGCAGGGTGGAGGCTGGCATATTTCTTTGCTTCCCTGCAGAAAAATGACTTTCTGATGGGAAAGCAAAGGGAAGCCACAAGAACGGTCATGCCACCCTCCCCAGCAGTATGTTTTGGGTGCTTAGGGCAGCCGGCAGAGAGGCAAATCACTGTGGGGCAGGAGGCAGAACAGGGGAAGACCTGGCTGGTGGCTCCTACCTGTGCCGAGCTTAGCTGCTAGTCCGGGCTGAGCTGGGGAGGACGGGACCTTCTCTTCCCCTGCATTGCATCTAGGGCCACCCCCAGATTTCTCCTCCAGCTGCAGGAAGCTCTGCAAATTCTCTCCCGCCCTTCCACTCCTCCCGCTTCAGTGGGAAGGATCCATGTACAGGGAGCTGCTCCCCCATACACCCAACCCCCTGCAGCCAGACCCACTATACGCAAACCCTCCAGCCGAGCCTCACTCCCAGCATTCAGAACCCCCCCAATGAGCCCCACTCCCCCTGCACTGGACTACCTCGACGAGCCACCCACATCCCCACCCCACCAAGCCCCTACCAGTTGCACCTAGATCCCCACTCCACTGAGCACCACTTCCAAGCAACTGGACCCCCCACTGAGCCCCCGACATCCAGACCCTTCTGCTGAGCTCTATTCCCCCCAACCATCTTCACCTGGACCCCCCTGCAGAGTCCCATTACCATTGCACCCAGAACCCTCCAACAAGCCCCTGTGCATCCAGATTCCCTCCACATCTGGATGCCCCACTGAGCCGCCTGCACCCACATTGCCCAACACTAAACCCTCTCAGCCCACATCTGGATCCCTCCACGCTTGGATCCTGCCTTGCTGAGTCTATCTGGTGCACCTGGCATAGAAAGGCAGGGCAGGGCCCTGGGGTGTTTCTGAGGCAGGCCCCGTCCTTCCACTGTGTCAGGGTTGAGTGAAGCCTCACTGCTGAGTCTGGGGGAAGCAGGGGAGAGCTGCACAGTTATCTCCATCCTCTGTGCAGCCAGTGTCCTGAGCGCCCCAATGCCATGCTGGAGCTTCCACATTTATTTGACAAATACAGTTTGCAGAATTTTAATTTTTTGGGGGGGAGAGAATTTTAATTTTTTGGCACAGAATTTTTAATTTTTGGTACAGATTGCCCTCAGGAGTAAGCCTATGTTGACAACAGTTCCCAACATGTAATATTTTATCTCCATCAAAGCCCTCGTGCAGAGAGACTGCCCAGGTGAGACTAGAGCTCTCATTGTGCAGCATGGCTTGGCTGTTGGGATCAAGATAGAACTTAGCATGCTTAAAGTGGGAGGAAACAGGTGGATGTCAGAAGCTGGGAAGGGGTCAGGTTGCAATAGTTAAGCTAAGATACAATGCCCTGGATGAGAGATTTAGTAATGTATACAGAGAGAATAAGCAGAAATGAGGTTCTGGTATAGCCTTGATGTGTGCAGTTAGAGAGAAGGCAGTTCTGGATGATAACCAAGTTTTGAGTGACCAAGAGGATGATGGCATTGTCAGCCATGACAAAGGAGGATGGATCTGGCATGGGAATCAATGACCATGTAAGTCTCTGGCCTGTGTTATATGGCAAGACAGACTAGATGATCACAGCGGTACCTCCTGGCTTTGGAATCGATGAGTGGAGAATTAATGCTATTTGACAAGAAAGATGGCAGAAGTGCAGGAGGGTAGAATGATGTTGTAGTGAAGGAAGTCTGAGTGACCATGAGACTTTCTTCAGAGACTTTCAGAGCCTGGGAATAAAACCAGAGAAAGCAGATATTGGGGGTATCCAAAGGTTGGTGAGATGGAGTGAATCAGGATGGTGGAGAGTGCAGAAGGAATGGAGACATTGAACATCTTCATGAAAGAGAGGGAGGAAAGGGCAGAAAGTGGGTATAAGGTTGAAAGTGTTTGAAAAGTTGTGGATAATGGTGGGTCAGAGGTCACAGAATGACTAGGTGCGGGCAAGGGGGCAGGTGAATGATGATGCAGGAGACTTGGACTAGATTGGAGGAGTTAGTTTATTTAAACATTACACCTTAAATTGTGAAGTACACTCTTGAAAAGTCTGCATTTCAGGATGGACACCCTACCAGTCCTATCAAGGAAAGGCATTTTGGCCAGAAAAGAGCTGGTGGGTTTGTTCCTCCCTGGCAAATGTGCTTTTTTAGTCAAAATCCAGTGCAGTATAATTGCAGTCCCTGCCTTAATATGTATTTATGTGAACCTAAATACATGTTGAAGCAAAAGGCCAGCACTGTCTCAGATTCAACTTGATTTAGTTGGGGATTGGTCCTGCTTTGAGCAGGGAGCTGGACTAGATGACCTCCTGAGGTCCTTCCAACCCTGATATTCTATGATTCAGGACTGAGGGCCATTACACAGTCTATTGCACACTCCTCAGATAAATATTTTAGCTTGCTACCAACCTGTACTTCATTAATACTGGTAAAGTGCCATATTCTCTGAGTTGTCCAGTACACCTGAAGAAGCTGTTTATAATTTGCATTTTAGAAGTGATTTGTGAAATACATTGAATTGCTGTGTTTGCAGAAAGGTCAATTCAGAAAAATAGATGGGAACCTTTAGGATGGAGCGGCATTTGAAATATTATTGCTGCTCAGGGCCATCCAGTGTAGATCCAGGTGCTGCATATTGACACACATCTTTCCATTCTTAATGTGGCTTGAGGTTGTGAGACTTCAGAAGCTGGAGTGAGAAATCTATTGCTTTAACCTGTGTTCTCAAACAATTTCAATTGTATTCATAGCGCATGATAAACCTGTCTGAGTTGACGCCTTACATCTTGTGTTCCATCTGCAAAGGTTATTTTATAGATGCCACCACCATTACAGAGTGTCTTCATACATGTGAGTATCGGTGTTAGCCTTTTTAAGAATTTAGTTTCAAATTTAGAGAGAGATCAGCTACCAAAACATCATGAGTGAGATTTTCATGTCCTCACAAATGGGAATTGCCTGTCTAAAATGACTGTATTTGCTGAAAGCAACAGAGAATCTTGTGGCACCTTTAAGACTAACAGATGTATTGGAGCATAAGCTTTCGTGGGTGAATGCCCACTTCGTCGGATGCATGTAAAGGAAATTTCCAGGGGCAGGTATAAATATGCTGGCAAGAATCAGTCTGGAGATAATGAGGTTAGTTCAATCAGGGTGGTAGATCAGGGTCCTGAGTGCTGGAGACGAGAATTGCACA